AGCGAGGATGGGCAGGGGTCTAGGATGGACGTGGTGGGCCTCATTCCTCCAAGTATCTTGTCCACATCCTCGGGTTTCACAAACTGAAAAGAATCCATCAAAATAGGACAAGCAGGTGCTCTTGTCACATCCTCAGAGACTGCATTTAACGCGGCGTCCAGTCCGGAGCGGATCAAGGCGACTTTGTCTGCGAAGAACCGAGCAAATGCTTCACAGCGCGTGGCCGAATTGTCAGGGCTCCCGCCTGAGGTGGCGGGAGTTAATAGACCTCTGACAATCCGAAACAACTCCGCCGGACGGTTCCTTGCAGACGCAATAGTGGCCGCAAAGAAAGTTTTCTTTGCGGCTTTTATTGCCGCGGCATATGCCCTTAGAAAGGACACAAACCGTGCTCGGTTTGACTCGCTCGGGTCCGAACGCCACACGCTCTCTAGTTCCCTCTTCCTTCGCTTCATCACTGCCAACTCCTCAGTAAACCAAGGAGCTGGTTTAGCTCGGCTACTTGAGAGGGGACGTTCCGGAGCGATCATGTCAATTGCCCTGGCCATCTCCCCATTCCAGAGAGCGACCAAGGCCTCGACATGGTCACCTACCGAGGTGGCGGGAAAGTCCCCAAGAGCCGTCAGGAATCCGTTCGGATCCATAAGCCTCCTGGGGCGGATCATCTTAATGGGTCCTCCACCTTTGCAAATTAGGCCCATCACCATCCGGCCCAGCTTATCTATCTGAACGCATCTCTTCCTACGAACCCACCAGGAACTTGAGATCATCGGAGGAGGTCCTGCTCTCAATCCCGCCTGCTTTGCAAGCACGGTTGGCAGGGACGAGGGACAGGGCATTCTCTGTGGCGGCCCCTTGGCTGTGGAACTCCCTGCCTAGGGATATTAGATTGGCCCTCTCCCTCCTGACCTTTCGAAAAAGAGTGAAAACTTGGCTCTTCGAGCAAGCATTTGGAACCTCGGGATAAACAGACAAACTTGAATTGGAAAATGACCCAGGAACGGATGAGGATTTGAACGAAAGGAAAACGAAAGTTTTTTAATTTTTTATTATTTATTGTTTTTATTTTTCTAAATGCATTGTAATGTTTCTTTTTTGCTTTTTATCAATGTATGTATTTTATGGCATCGAATTGTGCCGACTTTGTATGCCGCCATGAGTCGCCTTCGGGCTGATATGGGCGGGATAGAAATAGTGCAAATAAATAAATGAATAAATACCGTATATTCCGGGGTACTAGACGACTTTATAGGCATGTAAAATCTTATAAAATTTTGAGGGTCATCTAGTACGCCAGGTATAAAATTAAAATAATAATAAAATTACAAACTACTGGGCTGAGTCCCAGCACATAACCCCTAATAATAATAATAATAATAATAATAATAATAATAATAATAATCCTTTATTTATACCCCGCTAACATCTCCCGAAGGACTCGGTGTGGCTTACAAGAGGCCAAGGCCCAACACATCAGTAAATCAACAGCATAACAAATATGATGTCCTTGGGGAAAGAGTTTCAGAGTCGGGGGCCACCACAGAGAAGGCCCTGTCCCTCGTCCCCACCAATCGCGCTTGTGTCGCAGGTGGGATCGTGAGCAGGGCCTCTCCAGATGAACGAAGAGATCGTGTGGGTTCATATACGGAAATGCGGTCACGCAGGTAGGCAGGTCCCAAACCGTTTAGGGCTTTGTAGGTAAGCACCTGCACCTTGAATTGGGACCGGAAAATGAACGGCAGCCAATGGAGCTCCTTAAACAGGAGGGTTGACCTCTCTCTGTAAGGAGCACCAGTTAACAACCTGGCGGCCCTGTTGGACCAGTTGGAATTTCCAGGCCATTTTCAAGGGCAGCCCCATGTAGAGCGCATTACAGTAGTCCAATCTGGAGGTGACCAAGGCATGGACCACCCTTCTTGCAGGTAAAAAAGATCCTCAGTCTCTTAACGTTGTGTTGCAGGTGAAGATTGTGGTGTTTGATAAGACCGGGACGATCACTCACGGCACACCGGTGGTGATGCAACTGAAGATGTTGGTTGAGAGCAACCGGATGCCACGCAATACAATCCTGGCGCTGGTGGGGACGGCGGAGAGCAGCAGCGAGCACCCGCTGGGGGCGGCCATCACCAAGTACTGCAAACAGGTAGGAGTCCGAGGAGGTTGCTTGGCTCAGAAGAGGAGGGACGGAACTGTGAGGCCTACCTCACACAGAGGCTTCTCTCACAGACGAGGGCCTATCTCACACTGTGAGTTTTCTCTCAGAAAGGCCCAAGGTCAGTTGAATATGGTCCTCCCCCCATCAGGAATTGAACACCGAGACCCTTGGAACCTGCACGGATTTCCAAGTGGTCCCCGGCTGCGGCATCCGCTGCAAGGTCACCAACATCGAATCCCTGATCTACCGGAGGAGCGAGAGCCTCGAAGAGAACAACGTGAGGAACGCTGCCCTGGTGAACATCGACGATGGGGAGCCAATGCAGCCCGCCTTGATTATCGATGAACAGCTGCCAAGTGAGGAGGCTTTTCTTTGTAGTAAAATAATATCGTCTCACTATTTACAAGAGCAAACTTTCCATAACACAAACAAAATTCTTTATACTTCCTTCTTTGCTTCCACGCTGGACTTCTTTCTCATGCAGATAAATAGTTTCACTCTCACAGAGCCTCCTCTCACACCGAAATTACATAGTGGCTTCACATAGTAGCTTTACACAGAGCTTTACACACAAGGCTTTTAACGTGGGGCTTCTTTCACCAAACCTTCTCACACTAGGCCTTCTCACAGACTAAGGCCTACCTCACATAGAGGCTTATCTCATAGAGTACGGCCTACCTCACACTGTGAGGTCTACCTCACAGAGAGGCTTCTCTCACAGACTAAGGCCTACATCAAACTGTGAGGCCTACCTCACACAGAGGCTTCTCTCACAGACTAAGGCCTACGTCATACTGTGAGGCCTACCTCACACAGAGGCTTTTCTCACAGACTAAGGCTTACCTCACACAGAGGCTTCTCTCACAGATGAAGGCCTACGTCATACTGTGAGGCCTACTTCACACAGAGGCTTCTCTCACAGACAAAGGCCCACTTCACACTGTGAGGCCTAACGCACACAGAGGCTTCTCTCACAGACTGAGGCCTACATCAAACTGTGAGGCCTACCTCACACAGAGGCTTCTTTCACAGACTAAGGCGTACGTCATACTGTGAGGCCTACCTCACACAGAGGCTTTTCTCACAGATTAAGGCCTACTTCACACTTAGTCCTTAGTCTGTGAGAGAAGCCTCTGTGTGAGGCCTACCTCACACAGAGGCTTTTTTCACAGACTTAAGGCCTACGTCATACTGTGAGGCCTACTTCACACAGAGGCTTCTCTCACAGACTAAGGCCTACTTTATACTGTGAGGCCTACTTCATACAGAGGCTTCTCTCACAGACTAAGGCCTACTTCACATTGTGAGGCCTACCTCACACAGAGGCTTATCTCATAGAGTACGGCCTACCTCACACTGTGAGGTCTACCTCACACAGAGGCTTCTCTCACAGACTAAGGCCTACGTCATACTGTGAGCCCCACCTCACACAGAGGCTCCTTTCACAGACTAAGGCCCACTTCACACTTTGAAGCCTATCTCACACAGAGGCATTTCTCACAGACGAAGGCATACTTCACACTGTGAGGCCTACCTCACACAGAGGCTTCTCTCACAGACTAAGGCCTATGTCATACTGTGAGGCCCATCTCGCACAGAGGCTTCTCTCACAGACTAAGGCCTATGTCATACTGTGAGGTCTACCCCACACAGAAGCTTCTCTCACAGACTAAGGCCTATTTCACACAGTGAGGCCTACCTCACACAGAAGACTAAGGCCTACCTCACATTGTGAGGCCTCCTCTCACAGACTGAGACCTTTCTCCCACTGAGGTTTTCCTCAGACTGAGAGCTGCTAAGCTATATTGAAGTGCAGATTTTGCTGAGTCATTGCATCCATTTAACTCTTTCGGTGTTTGACTCACACTTTTGTAATTAAAAATACGTAGGCGACACTAAAATATGATGGCGCCACTGTTTCTCTTTCAGCCACATGGAATCGTCACAAATACTCCGTTCTCATTGGGAACCGGGAGTGGATGTCTCGGAACGGCCTTCAGGTCAAGAATGACGTGGACCACGCCATGACCGAGCACGAGCGACGCGGGCGCACCGCTGTTCTTGTGGCCGTGGACGGTAAGCCTGGGTCCAGGCAACAGTGTTGAGCATTTTACATGGAAGACGTTGAGGAATTGGAGAAAGGAATTCATTTTCTCATTAGGGAGTTACAGTTGATGGGATTTGTAGTTCACCTACAATCAAACAGCATTCTGAATTCCACCAGCGATGAAATTGAACCAAACTTGGTATACAGAACTCCCATAACCAAGAGAAAATACTGGAAGGGTTTGGTGGGCATTGACCTTGAGTTTGGGAGTTGTAGTTCACCGGCATCCAGAAAGCACTGTGGACTCAAACAATGATGGATCTGGACCAAACTTGGCATGAATACTCAATATGCCCAAATGTGAACACTGGTGGAGGTTCGGGGAAATAGACCTAGACATTTGGGAGTTGTAGTTGCTGGGATTTATAGTTCACCTACAATCAAAGAGCATTGCTATTGCTATTGTTTTAATGTTATTGTTTTGCTTTATGAGTTTAGAGAGAAGGAAGCCTTCCCTCCCTCTTTCTTTCCTTCCTTCCCTCTTCCCCCATTTTCTTTCCCTTTTTTCTTTCCTTCTCTCCTTCCTTCCTTCTCTAACTTTCCTTCCTTCCCCCTTTTTCTTTTCCTCCCTCTTCTCTCCTTCCTTCCTTCTCTAACTTTCCTTCCTTCCTTTTTCTTTCCCTCCCTTCTCTTTCCCTTTCTTCCTTCTCTACCTCTTTCCTCTTCCTTCTCTCTTTGCTTCCATTCTTCCTTCTCCCTTTCCTTCTTTCCCTCCCCTTCTTCCTCCCTCTTTCCTTC